TAGTTATTCGAGAAGTCCTGCAACTTTGTTTACTCAACTTCACCGACTGATGGTTGATGGTGAATGTGCTCAACTTCTCCCAAGCATCTCTTCGTTAAGGTTCGTCTTCCTCTGCAATTTAGAACTTCACCAACGAGATTTCCGCCTTCCGAGAACAAATCACCGGAAAGAAATTTGCAAACCCCTTCAGTAGCCTGCACAACCCACATTTTAATAAAATCACCTTCATCTTTATTATAAAATTATTACTTCATAACTCAAAATGGCACGCATATGAATGTAAATTCGAACAGCTGCTAAATTGACAGAACTTTTAATATGAAGGTTAAACCGTCTCACTTATCTTTGTTACCATTAAAATAGTTTTGCTTACACAAACTACAATCAGGTAAATCAGGCAGCTAAAACGTCGACTGCAATAAATGAATGAATCAGGAAAACATCTTGGTTATTTCTGTCTTCCCCATATACAGCTCTTAATTTACAAAACGGGCTTAGTAAATTATCAAAAAGGAATCAGTTAACATCGGTTTCTTACAAAGCTATACGCAGTAGACGCGTTAAGCACCACTTTTAATAAAAGGTAACCACTAGCACCCATTGAAAATGTTTGTTTAAATTACTGTCAGCATTCAACTGAAAATAATGCCCCGGGTAGCCATTTCAACCGATGTTTGATACAAATGTAGTGTTTGTCTGCACTGATTAGCAGCCCTGCTAGTTAGTTGTCCGTAACAATTGAGAATAAAGACGGCTGGTACAACCGATTATTTGCGTCAGACCAACTAAATACGTCTGTGGGTGAGGATGCGTAACGTCATTATCGAGTGATAGGCCAGACGCTGACGCTAAATCAACCGTTGAACAAGCTTCACCCACTCTTGTGAGCCGACGATGTACTACTCAAACCTAAGTTGTACATCGGGTGCTTGCTGTTTCACCTTCAATGGTCTTATGCGAAAAAATTTCCTTTTCCAGCGTCGGAAAGTGCTGACCTGCCGATTCGAGGCTTTGTGCTAGTAGAACTACGGGACTTACTAGTATGGATGAAAGCCGCAAGTTATTTGCCTCGATGGACATTCTGGAATAGAAAACAATTTTAGCTCACATGGATATTAGATAGGACGATGATAATTTTACAATGAACTTGGAATACCACCTATAGGCCTTTGAACCATAATTATAGCTTTCTCTTGTAACCCCTCTTAAAGCAAGATCTACGCGCACACAGACCCGTAAAAGTGCCTTTTTAATTAGACTCATTGGTCGAGAGCCTCTTAGTGTATTTTCAAACTGGCAACTTGGCCAAAATGTGATGTTATTCTCTGTTTGCGTTCGCAGCAATAGACTGCACGCGCTTTATGAAAAGCTCTATTACTTGGGGCATCTGAAAAGTGATGAACCAGAAGCATTCACGGTGTCTCCTTGGTTGACGAAGCTCGCTTAGGTAACGCCTTTAATTGGGTTTTTATTCGTATTTAAGGCTAACTCACAAGTGTAATCTAACACTAATTAGAATTCCGAATAGAGCTTTGCTTTTTACATTCAATGATCCATCATTAAGTTTTGAAAAAGCAAGCTGTACAGGAGTCCCTTACTTTAAAAACAACCACTTCACCAGCCTATTGCTGCTTTTTTCGTAATAGACACAGCCTGCATGAAACCTCTCTAATAATTATTTGTTTCTGCTTCTTTTGACTGATAAAATTCATTCACAAGTACTAAGCCTGAATAGCAACTCTTATGGGGTTTCCAATTATCTTTTTGTATACTTGTTTCCCCTGTTGGTAAGACTATCATTAATTTCTAGTAAGCCTTTACTTAACAACCCTATAATTACTCTCATTATACTTGGAGATGATGATCAGGTGACGTTTGTAGAGAGTGACATTATGCTACAAGATGGTTAAGAAATTTAAGCTGTTTTCAACCAACATAGCATACAATGGCACATTCCATAATACCCTATTACAATCAATAGAAATTTTCCCGGAATTGTCTAATGGGATCAGGCCAGCAGATATTTGCAGACTCCGCTTTCACTCCTGGAGCATAACGGCAGTATTTATGAGGCTCTGATACATCGAGTGATGATTGGTACTTAGATTATTGAATCCGTTGCAAAGCCTTTTCAAGTAATTACTAGTATTGAAGGTTAGCAAAGTCTTAACGTTTAATAAATGGCCATAATCAAGTGAAACAGTTGACTGACTGAATTTAAAATTGAATTACGGCATCATTGTGGGTTCATTTAAGGAAAACGGCAAAAGATTTTCTTCGAAAGTAAAATACCTATACTGGTATACCATCGTTAGTGAAATACGATTTCCAGTACAGTCATGTCTCCTCATCACGAGTGCACGCTAACCAATTGTTGGGGACGTCAGCATTCCCCAAGGCAACTAAATTCAAACAGTGATTTGTGATGTCTATGCACTCAGCTCTGTCCACACAATTAAAACTTTACGGTCGCACTACATCTTCGTTCCCATTGACAACTGATCGCTCAGTGTTACTTACTCAATTCATCGATCTTAGATTGCTCAGGCATACAATTTGAACACACACTCAACTTCCGCTTTGACCTCAACCTCTGCCTGAACCTTCGGCTGGGACAGTGAAGCTGTAGTGAATCGTGCTTATTCACACCCCTTGATCCGGTCGCTCCACCTCCGACACAGGGTTCCTCTTGTCCCAGTATGTCGCCAGCCGCGCGGATCCTCAACTCCCCCCTTATTCGCACGAATATTTATCTTGGAGTATCCTCACACATAGGTCTCGATGTTAGCGCATGTATGACTCACACATCCAAGGTATAAATACACAAGCGCAAACCCCACACATGACACAACGACACCAACGTGGTTGAGCTCTGAAGTAAACGCTTGTGTCCAAGTTCTCTCCGATCTTTTTCTTCATCGCGGGTATCAGAGAAACGTAATCGGGCCAGGGTTAGTTCAGTGGCCCCGACGTGGTTCAGGACCACATTCTGGGGCCTACAATAAAGCTCTCTACAGGAGCTCTTGTCTTGTCCCATGATGGGAAGCCTTTGTCGTGCCAAAACAAGGGGTTCAGGGCTCTGCCGCTACATACCGTTCTAAGGTGTCAACCGCAAATAGTTGCCGCGACGCCTACAAGAGAATTAATTCACAAGAAAGGCATGAAATGAGCCGAAATGACAAATCGCATCTTTGTTTGTTTACGCGATCTACTGACCATCGGTGCATTTGAAACTAGTGGGAGTTTAGACCAGACAGGAAATACTGGCAAGAGATATTGTTATTGATCAATAGCATTGGCGCAACCTACTTAGATCGCCCTGTTTTCAAGACCTTGGGGTAAAACAGACTAATTATGTTAACCCCGGTGACAGGTTAGAATTCTTAAAAAAATTATGCTTGTATAAATTGATGTTTTAGTAGGGAGTGAGGACCTCTAAAATGTGTCTTCGAATTTCGACAACCGCGTTTTTTAATTCAACCGATAAAATGAAATCTAGCCAATGATCGCTCAATTACTTATCATAAATTCATCGCACCACTGTGTGAGATCTTAACTTTCACTAATCCCTCAACTGCAGAAAATAGACGGCGTACATTTCAGTTTTGGAGTGCTAGTGAAGATGCCATTCGGTTTGCACATCGTTGGTACATGTGTACAAAATCAGGCTTGCGGTTTCAGGAGGAGATACCTGGCATACGATAATTCACAAGAAATGTGGGTGCTAAGCTTAAAATAACTTGATTAAATGAAAGCTGCTTGACAGTTGAGAAATCGGGTGAGACAAGGCTGTTCACGGCGCGTTTTTTCGCACTAAAATAGGATTCACGTCTGTAAGCAGAATGGGAAAACGATGGTATCAAATAAGCAATAGTTCTATTAGCTCAGACTTACTTATTTTAGACAAAGACAGGAAAGTAACTCAAGATTTTGTAGAAATTTTAAATGGCTATTAGTTCTTGGGTGCCAAGCGCAGTCAGAAGAAACCTATCAGCAGTTGGTTGAATACCTTCATCCCCAAGATTACAGTGGTGTCTTATTACTGCCAGATAAATGGATGATGCTAAAACGCAATTCGGCAGTTTGAATATGGAGACGAACCGCAGACGGATCCGGTCTCTAGGTCAAAGAGCGAAGGGTAAAGCTATTCTTGAAAGTGTTCAAGTAATCTCATTTAAAACAACCGATTCTTGTTATAAATCATCATATTGAGCTAGTTGGCACGGTCACATTCCCCCACTAAGAAAACATCAGAGCAGGTATGTGATCGTTATCTGAATACAATTAAAAAAAATAATCCATCCAATAGATATTTGGGCTTTGAGCACCGATATCCTTTCTACTCGTCTCTAAACAGTACTCACCGGATACGTCGCGTCCAGTTTTAAATTTTCACATTGATGACCAATTAACCTGTATTAAGCAAAATTTCTTTGTATAACCACAATTCCAGTGCCATTCAAGTGCGAGAGAGGTCAACATATTTATACATTGGTGAAATATGCCTCGCATCTGAAGCTATGCGATTGTTCGTAGACGTAAAACAGATTTGTCTAAATTTATCGCGACTCCACACTTTTCTGACGCCAACAAAGAATGCGTGGACGGGAACCATCTCACCTCACGTTAATGACGGTCATTTCTCAAATCAATCGTCATTTATTAAGGTTAAGGCTTTTGAAAAGTTGGTAGACAAGTTCATACGAGCAAACTAGCACAACCAAATCGAAAATGTGGGCAACTAATGGGAAAAATCAACTATCTGGGTAACGAAACTGTGCTGTCTTAAATGATGCATTGAGACACCCACTCGAATCCCCTTGCCCGAAAGAAACGGAAAGCGCCTCCCAAAAAAGGTGAACAACACGATCAAAAAAGAAATTAGTGCGTCTTTGTGGATTTCGCCCCGAACCGGATTACTCGGGTTGCAGTGGTAGGTGTTACGCCCCATTGGCTGCTTTGTTTAAGAGAGAGATCGCATTCCTAGAAGAAACCGCCAAATGACCCAACGTGCGTCGCCCAAAGCCCCTGATCCGCAAACACCGAAAAGGGCTGTAGGTGGCTCGGTTGGCGAAGTGGAGGGATTTGCGGAACCACTACGCGGGAAGCGGACACACACAACGCCCACAACAACCCCACGACCGACTGCGAAACACGTGGTTGCCTTCTGCGTCAGCTGGCACCTTGGCCAATGGTGTTCTGGCTACCGTGCGTGCCCCGGCAGCAAACCAATGGCTATCAGCCACCAACGCGTGTTGTGCCAAATTCTGTGTGTGTGCGCATGTCGCTAGACTGACGAGCGCGTACGCATGTGCGCCTGTCCGTCTCACACTCTTTGCGCAGCTATGGGAGCGCGTGAATACCGCCACTCTCCTGAAGTGTGTGTATACCTGAAGCGCGTGCGCGCACCATTTTTCCCTGAATAAGCTAAGACTGTGCTGCTGCCTCACTGTCACGGTTCCTCCAGCCGGCGAGTGTGCTCCATAGCCTCCCCGAATGTGCTCTCTTACGCACCCCTCATAGTTGTTCTTCCCGTATGTATCAATATGATAGGGAGATCTGTCCATCACCTTCTCATTTTCATCCTGCCACTGTTGACCTCTGCAGAGCATGGAACCAACCAGAGAACTGCTTCATTCGAAATGCAGGAAGAGACGGAATTGAACACAACGATCGGATCTCTTCGAGAAAATCTGTCCCCCTATCCAGGGTCGAAGGTTGCTTTCATGTACTCAGGTGATTTTTTCCGCATAGACTGCCACACCGGAGAGGTCAAAGTTGCTGTTGTACTTGATCGCGAAACCGTATGCCAAGAGCACAAGATATGCTGTGGTGTCATCGACTGTACTCTCGTCGACAAGGTCTACCTTGTTTATGCAGAAAGTCGGGACTACATCGCGACTATTCTACTTAAGGTCGATCTGACTGATATTAACGATAATCGACCGGTCTTTGGTTCTCATCTTCAAAGAGTGAATATATTAGAGAATTCAGAAGTTGGCAGGTACATCGGGCTGCGGTCGGCCACTGATGCTGATGTGAATCCAAAAAATCAGGTAAATCGGTATCAGTGGATAGAACCAACAGGAACGTTTATCCTTGACCAAAACAATCTTCCTTCGATTCGACTTCGTCTCAATTCCCCTGTGGACCGAGAAATGAGAGCAAATTACTCAGGAACTCTCTCTGCGTGCGATATCGATTCATGCACAACCACGGACGTTTTTATAGAGGTAGAAGATGTGAACGATAACTCTCCACAGTTTTACAAACGCCATTATCGACTTGAGTCACCTGAGTCCCTTACTGTAGGCTCTACCATTCTACGTCTGAATGCCACGGACGCCGATTCGGGCGACAACGCAAAAATTGTTTACTCATTTCGTGAACCAGTTGATCCCGATTTAGCCGACACATTCGAGATCATTGCAAATTCTGGTGAGCTCCGGCTTCGGCGGCCTTTAGATGCGAAAATACGCAGCAGTTACAACTTCAAGGTTGTTGCCTGCGATTCCGTGGCCAGCGAATGTGCAGGCAATGATGCCTCTTCGGCTGACATCGAAGTGGTCGTGAAGGATGTGAATGACAATCGCCCCGTCATTGAAATTATCCCTGCGGGTGACTATACCTCCTCTACCGGCGACCTCGTAGTCCAGGAAAACTTCCCAGCTGGGCAGATCGCGGTAGTGAAGGTTAAAGATGCTGATATTGGTGAGAACTCAAGAACAGCTTGTGAACTTGACGATCATACATCTCCGTCTGTTTTTGATCTATCCCAAAGCGCACCGGATCTCTACTTTCTTCGAACAATGCGCTCATTTGACTTCGAGCAGGAGTCAGTCCTGACAACGACTATCCGATGTCGAGATTTCGGTACCCCTCCTCTAAGCTCTGTGCGTACTCTCACGCTTCGTGTACTGGACGTCAATGAATACGCGCCCGAATTTCATCAACGGGTGTTTAGCACAAGCGTTCGTGAAAATTCCCAGCCCGGAGTTGACATCATAACCCTCAGCGCCATCGACAGAGACGGCCAGTCAGAACTCCGTTACAAACTGGCTCCCCCACCACTTCAGCACGCTGAAGGTGAAGACATTTATTCTACCGCTGTGTCGCCATCGTCGACTAACTCGGTCGAAACAATGGGCGTTAATGTTCACTTCGATTTGGATCCGAAAACAGGCGTGCTTCGAACGAGTCGGGTGAGTGTGAATTTGGTTTCATGCATTTCCTCCACACGGTATGCGATTTAGAAAAAAAAACCGAAACAGGGTATTTCTCATGGTCTGGTTGGTATCAGACTTCCGTCTCTTTTTCCCTCCTACCCATCTTGCTGCCGTGCTGGGGATTGCTGTTGGTTGCCCTGCGGGCGATTTCTAACGTGCTGCATGACTAATACTGGAGGGAGGGCGATGCCGGGGTGCACACCCACTTGCCGAACACGAAAGTCCCAGTTACCCAATCTTTTCCTGAATGCAATTAAACGCAGTGGTGACCCTACATCTTGGGTTTTCCTTTTTAAGATGGTCCACCGCCACAGCCTCATTAAAACCACCGCTACCGGCGTGGCTAAGTTTGCTGTGCACGTCGGTAAGTCCACGGCGGAGTAGTGCAACTTTTGGGGCTCGTCACAGCAAGTTAAATCTAATGGCTTTGAAACGTTGCGTGGTACTTTGATGTGGCCAGTAGTGCTCGCGCGCAACGGGACTTCGAATTCTTCGGCGAGCCCATCAAGGTTCGGCCCCTAAAATTCACAATGCCAAAACTGTCTTGAATACCACGCAGAATCCGAGGCTCAGATTTGACGAGCGGAACGCTGGTTTGAAGCGGGGTCTTGTTTGTGATGCAACAGAATTGAGAACACGATGATTGAAAAAAAATGCACATGGGAAGTGGCTGAAATTCGATCGCGTTTGTGTAGTAAACCACATCATTAAAATGAAGCAACGATCATGAGCAGAATATCTCTACTATTCCTTTAATTATTTATGACCAGTAACGCTGATATTGTTTTTGCATTTCCCGATTACGTTCTCGTGTAAACTGGCATTGAATATTGTTTGTAAATTGCCTTTAATTCTTCCTGCACTGCTCAGCAAACCCTCATAACTGCGGGTTTTGGAAATACCTTCCCTACGTGTTGATGTCCTCATTTTACTAGTATTCGCGGTAGATTTTTTTGCAGTTCCTTCACTATTGGCACAGTGGTCACACACGAGGTGGCTAAATACTTTGACAAGTAGTGAAAAAAAAACCGAAAATTATGTTTCCTCATGGCACACTACACCACACTTTGAAATTTTACATTCACCCTCAAATCTTTATTGATTGTTGGAATCATTTGCGTGCCTTATCGTCTCTCAGTACCTTTAATGCCTTTACGGACACCCGTAATCGGACTGCAAAGGTAGCTTCTCTAAGGACCGTCTTCCGATGGTATTTATGAACTTGACGAACAACTGCCGGAATCTGATCCAATTTTTTTCCTCCAAAACACCATTTGTTTTTCCACGATGTCGGCGCACACTGTTGGCGTTTGGATACTGGAGCACGCAGATATTTTTGAACTTTGTACCTTTTGCAAGTGACAAACAATCCACTTCCCTCCACCAGACAAGGAGCCAAAATAACAGAAATTGTCGGGAATTTGTGTGGTACAGATCCGAGGCAATTACACGATTGCGAGCCAAAGCGTCTGCCCATGTGATGCGAAATAAGCATTTGCCTGCTTTCCTGAGTGCGTCGTTTACGACATCGCCGAAAGTGACTGCAAAAGTAGCAACACTTAGTACCCAAACTCCGCCAAAATATTCTCAAAATCAAACTCACGTGTTTTGCGTTAAACCTACGGAACAGTTTCCCCGTGTCCCTCGTAGTCATTAGCGCCAGACCTTACATCGTGGCGTTCAGATTTTGTTTCGTTTCTCGCATACACTCGTTTACGCTAGCACTCTAAATTTTACACAGTGGATTCAATTGCGTCTGGAGGCAAAGCGTATCTGTACATTTTTGTTCTTCGAAAGAATTCACTAGATGTTGCTCCACAAAGTTAGAATACGATGAAGTGGCGGGGGAAGGTGATTTCTGTCGAAGATTCCTTACAAAATGTAAGTTCGAGTATCTGGATCAGTATAACAATGGGTCATCATTATAGGGCGGCCCTGATTTTGTTATTTTTTGTCTTATCACATTATTATTCCCAACGTTTTTACTTGGGACGTCGTCCATACAAAGCGGATATAATTTACTGCTCACGTTATCATGCTGGACTATGTTGGTAGCTCATCGTGGGAAACTGTTCTTAACAAGAACCGCCCAACCCCCAACGTGCTCGTCGTGATAAGGGAATGGATTTGAAAGATCAGAGCACTAATTTAGTATCAAATATGGCCTCCATTAATTTCCTTGTTTTTTGTCTAATTCAACTTGCTTCGTAACCCTTTTTTTACTTCTTTATGTGGGCTTTCGTCACAAAGCCTCACAGCTACTCTAAACTATTTGGCAGCAAATTTTCTCGTTAACTCGATCCATTGGGTTTTTGTTATTCACATCAAGATCAACGAAGTCAAAAGCTACTTTTGGTTATTTCAAGACGGTCAGGAATGGACAATCGTTGGGTGCATTCCGACGTCTACTTCACCCATTGTTTACGTTTACTGAGTAATTTCTTCGCTAACCTGGTATTGTATGAATCGTGGGACCCGCCTCTGCTAAGACTTATTGAAGATCTAAAATTACTTAAATTTTGTAGGCAAGTACGGTTTCATTTGCAACGTCACCTTTAAAACTCCAAAACAGGGATCTTTTAAGGCCAGTCCATTGGTCGCATGGTAACCGAACCTATATTTCAGTTAAGGTCACACTTTAAATAATCGCTGCCCGCTCTGGTCTCGCGAAAATAAACAAAACGGGATCTTTTAGGGGATCTAAAAATGGAATTGGAGGTCGATTATGACTGGGTCAGTTCCAGACAACACCTTTTCGCCTCTCCCATGAATACTTTTTTTCGTGGCCCGCGTTGCCGCGCTGTAAAGCACTATTTGACGTCAAATTGTTTTCTTCTAAATGCGTCGAACGTACGATATCTTCGTGATGTTGCTTGTGCATTTTTTTTATTGCCCAGTCCTCTAGCCGGGTGCGGCAAGTAGCACGAGGCATGCATTTTGCGATCAACCTAACGTCTTCTGGGGCGATTTACAGCGCAGCACGTTAAATTTGACCTGAAGTGAATGCCTCCATTACAACAGGTTTTATCTAAAATGGCTAAAATAGTGTTCGGGGTTATCTTGATTCGACTGATGATGGCAGCCAGTTTAACTGCAAAGTATACATCCAATTTTAGTGGCCATGGGGACAGTGGAAGTGATTTTCCATTTAGGCGTTTTGGCATTCGCTGTCATTGGGGTGTTACAGGGTAGCTGTTTCTGGTTTATTTGCGTTATCTTGTTTTGGTAATCGGAGCGCTCAGTCTGGCAGCGATTGCCCAAGTAAAAAAGAGGATATAGAACCGGTCATAAAGTTACCAAACACGTACGCGAACAACGCAATAAATGAAACCCGCACAAGTGATAAGCGCTCGTACAGCAGTACACGCCTGCGCGTGTTAGCGCGCGCGCATACTGCCGTTCTGTTTGTCCACCTAGCACAATTCGTCCCGCAGATTGGCTGGAAGGCTGACTCAGTGCTGCCGTAATGTGGTTGTTGAGTCATGGACGACACCACGACCTTTGCTCCTATCAACCAAAGGTCCCCTAGCACCCGTACTTGAGAGGCGTTTCTGCAATCGGAGCCCACTGTAGCTATTCCTCCTAGTCCACGTCCATACACCATCTCTGTAAATGCTTTTCACTCTCTCATGACACGTGATCTACAAAGCCCCCTTTAAACGTTTACCTCCCTTTTCCCGGACCTGTGAGGTCTATGCCGTTTGAGATCTGTCAGTGCACAGAAGTTAAAAGACGCTTCCTTGGTGTTAATACCTCTGCGGATTATTGTGGAATTGCCATTGGTCACCACTTACGACTCACGGTCTGGATTGTTCTAATGATTTTCCAGTCTTACATGTTTAAGGGGATTTAGATTCTTGAGCGAACCTGCATCTGAACCACTTGTCCGTGGTAGGGGGAATTTAGCAGATTATTTTTGCAGACAGAAGCCCACCATTGTGTGTTGTATTTTGGCAAAACTTTTCTGTCATTTTTACCAAGTAAATTAATATCACATCTGGAAGTGCAATGAGTTAACGCGATGCGGTTTTAGTTTAAGTGAAAATTGCGGGGAACTGGGCGGGCTAAATAGCGAATTCTTCTCCTGTCTTGTAATTAATGGCTGATGGCCATGCGCTGTTAGCATCGGTCAACAAGTTCGGCAGTGCATGGCATCTTTCCCGCGCAATCTGCAGTTGCTCTCCGCCGCCGTTGCTAAAAGAAGCATTTACCATTCCGGAAGGGGTTTTCGTGCATCTGCAGTCCATTTTTTAATTTCATTCTCGGTGGCACAACTGCCTACACTACGACGCGAACCACACCCATCACCGCCTTAAGGTTTTTGTACGTACTGACTTCGTGGCGGTTGTTGCCAGCTTTTTTCTCATGTGAAAATGTGTGGATTGTGCAATCGCGCTGACCAACGGAATATTGCCGCACACTACTGACCGTCCAGCAACCCCGTCCACTGGCAAGTTTCAAGTAGACTTTTGAAGCCCACTCCGCTCTTCCCACCAATCAGGAGATGGCACGATGCCTTTTACATTTATGCAAGCTTATTCGTGCCAATAATAAATTTGAGGCGAAGGCATTTAGTCTGCGGGCTCCCGAAAATGAAAATGAAAATGCAATTTCAGTTCAAACGCGCGCGTTTTCGATTCTCGCCGAACGTCTAACCTTCTCAATAACCATTGAGTTTTTGTGTGATGTTTTGCCTTTTTAAATCAACAAATTCTCGATTGCATAACAATAAGCCATAAATGTTAATTTTTGTGCCATCCTCAATTGGCCTCATTACAGACCAGCAGCACACTCCGTGTAGTGGCAACGAAACCGTCAATTGTCGAATGCTTTGAGCTTTCCCGCCCACATTCCCCCTCGTTCTCCCCATCTTCGGTGTCCTTGACCTCGAAGTCAGACACTGAGCTCACGCACAAAGCAGACGAAAGGCATTTCCCACCAACCTCGGCGCCTAAGCATTTGAATCTGAGAGTACTGCCGTAGAATGCAGGAGGGGGTTGTCCTGTTTCCAGAGTGCATACCCGAATATTAGTAGTATCGAAACCTTTGTATTTTCCGATGAAAGGTATTGAGGGGATCTATTAGAAGTCGAGCCAATGCATAAGTTGGAACACTTAGTTACTTCAATAAACCTCGATGCATGGTTGTGGCGCCAGGACTTGGGCTCCGGGTGATTATTGTCACGGTTGTAACCGTGCAGAGAAAAGCAATCTTCAAATAAATTCGTTTTACCCGCGTCATTTCGACTCACCTTACGGGAATTCCCCAATCAGAAATTTCGCTTTTTAGTAAGAGCATGTTTTTTGTATGTCGGAACCCGTCGAATGCTCTCAACTTGTGCCTCTTTTTAATAACACCTTCGTCTACCGATGCTTGTCCACCCAGGCTTTACTCCTTTCAGGTAAAATAATTCTGATTTCAGGCTACGACTTTTAACCCTAAAGGCCATTACTGAATTTTTTTGAGACAGGTATTTGTGTAGAATTGAATACGGTGGTGGAGAAAGATGCGATTTCGTCAGATTTTTAAATTTGATGTAGGGAACGTTAGAAGTTACCTTGCTGTGAAAGTCGAATTAGTCTCTTTCACTTGTTCGATTGCCATGGTTTGGCATCTGGTAGTACTTTGTGGCGAAGAGAGTCGACCGTGGCCTTCCATTGCCCACTGCTTGCAATTCGAGACCTCGTACAACTGCAGCTGAAGCACCAGTTCTAACACCGGGCCACGCGTTTTTTGTGTCGAATGTACTACTTCAGGTATTCTTGTAAAATGTGCCCCGGTATTTTCACGAGGCCGTTAGACTCTGCAACCTAGTCTTTGTGTAGATTTGCATAATCCGCTGGAATCGTTGAAAAAGGCAGGTTAATAATTGCGTTATATTATAACCCGGCCCATACTTTTCATAGCGTTAAACTGGATCCCCTCTAGTTATTAGATGAGCCTTCTGATGTAACTATTTTTACCATTTACCATTCTCGGCAGTGGTTAAAATCCATACCAAGCAAGAAGTAATCGCTTGTGCCTCATTTATTTGCCTACTTTTAATTTGCGCATTGCTGATAGTAAAAACAAGCATCAAGACTGTTGATTTTTGGTAAAAAAAAAGCACTATGGGTGGAAATTTTGCACAAATTTGTCTGAGCGTGGAGGAAGGCGACGGAAAAATTCAAGAAAATGCGTTCAAAATCCAAAGACGAATGTTTTTGACAGATTCAACCTTGTCTAGATGGGTCAAACAAGTGTGGATTGTTGAGAGTTGCACGATGCCTTAAAAGTTGCCACAACATTTGCTTCTTGTTACCTTGCAAACACGAGGAACGCTCATTCACACGGTTCCTTGACGCATCCTTAGTGATGTTTGCCTCAAAAACCACCTATATCCATTGAACAAGTCAATTTTTTCCTAGAAGTAAGTCTTAAGCCCTATTTTCATGCACCAGGGGCTTAAAAATCACGTAAATTGCAGTAAGCCGTCCTCTCGCACTGTATTGCCTTGACTGTCACCCCAAGGATGCCGATGTAAGCACTTATCTCACGCACAACTCTTGCTTTAACCGTCGTCGGTGCGTTCTTGTGACAGCTGTGATTGAGTAGTGTTGGTTGTTGTGTAACCCGCCTGATGCAGATCGCGTGAGACGCCCTCCAGACAGCCCTCTAAATGCGTGCTAGCGCGTGCGGGCGTCCGGTAGCCGGTTCGAAGGCAAGTCACCACACTCAGTTGAGGAAGTTTTCGTCCGCCTTTACATTTTACAGCCACGGCGCGTTTTGTTTACTCGCCAAATTCACAATAGCCAGACGCGTAATGCCGACTTGACCCACATTCTGGTCAGAACAATTATCGTCTTGCTTCTTCATGCTAGCTTAATCATCGTTTTTAAGATTTCAGGCGGTTTTAATGGATGCGCTACAGGTTAATTCCTATGTTTCATGGTGGAATAAACTACTGGCTAGTCAGAATTGAAAAGAAGTAGTGATCAGCAATTGTCGATCCGGTGCTTGTGTGGACTGTTCCGTCGATGTTTCCTTACGCAAGATTTGTATTTGCGGCGCGCTTGGACTCCCAGACGTGCGCTATCGATTTTTTAGTCTCTAAGTCTCACCAAACCCGCCAACAGCGAACCTTCTCGCCGGTCGGTGCGAGTCATACGGACGGGGTTAGGCGCGCACATCCGCCGCGTATACCTGATTTTTTCACGTCACACTGTTTACGCGCGCTAATTGTGACCACGCCAGGCGCTGCGTATGCCTCGGCATAATGACTTGTCGAAGGCGTTCGCATCGTTCACTTTCGAATGTGACCCACCGGAGACGAACAAATCCACGGAGTGTTTTAGTGTGCAAGGTTGGGAAACAGTGTCATATTTTTTTAATCAAATTTATGTGACCCTGGCAAATGTCGAGCCCTTTTTGATGTCCTTTAAGAACACCCTGGATGGCAATCGACGTTTATTCCCTTTGTGGTAACACGGGGTAACCGTGTATCGTAGCCAAACTGACCAGATTCCTTTTGGCCGAAACGTTTTGTTAGCATATTCTATATTCCCTTGATTTCTACAACAGTTGGTTCTATCATCAATGTGTTCCCTATTGTGTGAAAATTTGAATGCACACGTGTTTATAAACAGATATAGTTACCTTACCTTGGTTGAAAGATGGTATAATCACTCTTATGGTTTATATTTTGTGCTAGGATAGATTGAGATTTATCTTTTAGCGAATCAGTACTTATAGACGTGCGTCGATCCTTGTGGGTGAATCGTGTATCTGGAATCCTAGTCTTGGGTGCGATAGTTTTAATGTTAATTTTCCGTCTGGACATTTCTGTTTCTGCAGTACGTATCGTTCAGACCGCTTTCTAGGCAATCCTCTGCAAAATTAGACACTAACCGATTAAATGCTTTATGTTAACTGCCGGTGGCCACATGCCCATTGGGTTCACCGTTGATTTCTCTTAGTTTAAACATGGAAGACCTCGGATTTGGTATGGCATGAGGCCGGTAGTCTAATTTCGCGTTTCATGTTAACCGCATTCTGTCGCCAGCCTATGATATTGTATCCCAGCTCAAGTGCTTTTATAAAGGCTGCGACGACTAGACAGGCTGTATCACAGGTGCCTTTTGACTCAATTTTCTTCGGGTTTTTTGCAAGGGCTTCTCGTTTTGGACAATCCTCACTACGCCATGCTCGAGAGTACTAACCTCCATCATTCATTATGGCTGTGATGTCGGTGATTGGTGTTATTTTATGATTGCTAAAACATACAGACAGGGTATTTGGGCTTCTCGATCACTAAAAAGGGAAGCACAACATTTTGTAGTTCTCATTTATCCTCACTGGTTATGCTTTGCTTCCCTGTGTTGTCGACTTAATCGTCCCAGAGCCTTCCTGTTAGAAATTTACGCCTCTGCTAGTGTGCGCATCCTTTTATCAAAACATGGAGGACCAATATTTTTTTCCCGAAATTCGACATGTCTTCGAGTGCTTACGTATGTTAATTGGAAATCTTTTCCGAAATTCAGGTCCAGCTAGATCGCGAGGTTATTGAGAGAATCACCCTCGTCGTCACGGTGACGGACTCCTCCACACCGCCTATTTTTACGGCCACCGCGACAGTATCGATCGAGGTCTTGGATGAGAACGACAACAGCCCCGTGTTTCTAAGCCCCCCGGCGAACATGGGTTTTCCATTTCATCAAAACGACATTCAGTCGTATGCCTTCACTGTCCGAGAGAACGCTCCACGATATACCCGTCTCAGTGGCCGGCTGGAAGCACGTGACCCCGATGCCGTGAGTTGCCATTTCGTGTTATTTGTTTTCATTTTTATTCAAAGGTGCAGCCCATCGATTTGTAGGCTGGTTCAAGAACAGCGCCTCGTCTAGTTAACCCTCCCCTAAGAGCTTGCATTATTTCCAGAAAGAAGCAGTCCCTTGTTTTTAGGGTCCTTGAAATTTCTACAATGGTTTGTCAAAATCCCGATGACAGATAATAATTGTGATTGGCCACCAGGATGTTCTGCTGAAAATCGTAATTCCTGACCAATTGGATTACTTGAATTGAAGTTAATGCTAATCTTAGTTAGATTTATTGCAGTTGACTCTTGTCAACAAAAGTTCTGCTGATTAATGGGTCAAAATCAAGATTACGAATTTGCTGAAACCTTTGACCACTAGAGAGACCCACCAACGTTACAGAGCTGTCACCGCATTGTGGGGACATAGGTTTATTTATCAAAAGTGGCTAATTTGGTAAAAAAAAATCTCCGAATGACAACCTCGTCGTGGAATTCACGTAACCTTCACGTGTCAATTGAGCCTATCGCACATGATTGCAAGAATCACCAACGAAGGTTATTTGCCACGCTTTGCTAAAAGCAATTCGTTTACCTTGCTGCTGACATACGACAAAAAAAAACCTAAAAACAAAAAAATCTACCGGTTATTGAAACAGGCGGACATCAACTTTATGCACCTACCTGAATTCCTTCGTTGCCATTCTATGTGGTGACTGCATAGAATGCCGAGTCCGCCTGTAATTAAGTCCATTTTTCCGACAAAATTTTGTTTAAATGCAAAAACTAACACATGGTTACGGTAAAATGCTTCAAAGGCTGGACATGGTAATTGTAGGGCTTTGAAGCAAGCCATCGAATTGGCGAAATGCATATTTGCGTAGTTTTTGCCAGCCAATTCTTCGTTGTTCCAAGCTGCGAAAGGAACCTACACTTTATTTTTCCCCTAATGAAATACGCCGGCGCAGCATTAAAGGCAAACTATTTGATAGCGCTCGTTCACGCGCAGGAGAAACGACGGTGGTGCGTGCACACAGCTTTCTGCGTCGGACATGCTTACCTGGCTGGCTAGGTTTGTAGGGGCGTGAAAGTGATTTTCTCGTATGCTGAATGGTGCGTGGCGGTGTTTACCAAAAGCACTGCAGTTTCGTGCTAAGGCTGTTCGCGACTTGCCAACGGATTGTTCAATCTGAGTTGAACGCGGTCACAAATTTGCGTTAAAGAGTAGGCGCAAAAACGAGTGTGCTGATGGTTTCTGTGTAGGGTAAGTACCACCGCCAAGTAAGCCTACTTGCCTCACCTTTTGACCCCTGTCAGAAGAGTAGCCTGAAGATAATTGTTTTTTTGGAGATCCACCTTGTTCACAACGAAAGATCAAAGTTTTATTGAGCCCAAATGACTCTCTGTGGGACCAACAAACTTCTTTAAGCCAGGTGCGTTTGAGAGATCACACGTGCCTCACTCGTGTCCGGTTACAGTGGGATTAAGCGGAAGCCGTGTGATTGACATGTGAGTCTAAAACACACCATCCTCTAGAGAATGGGATACTTGCGAGGGTTCCTGTCGATCAATTCCTCCAAATGGTCCATTCAAATAATTCACCTGTCTTTTTGCCTTGTAGTAGAGACTTTCGTTGCAGGGCGATTGTGTGTGTGTGTGTGTGTGAATAGTTATTTGTTTTTTAGGGTGGGGTTTGACTGCACCCGTTCCCAGACACATTGGGTGGCCTATAAGGCGACGCTGATAGCACCCTCCATCAACCGAGGCGATTAATTGTCGCCTTGTTTCGTTTGTGTCACTGCTCGCTGTCATCTTTCACTACCGTTTTCGCATAAGGCAATAACACAGCAGCGTAGTTGCGCCTAATTTATAGCCTAGGTTTGTTCACACCGCGTAAACTCAATCGTGAGGAAGTTACGATCTTCTAAGGTCACTTCACTTCAAAGTGTGGGCAAAGCACGGTGAAAAAACTCGGTAGGAGAACGGAATGTCTTCCTGTGAAATGGCGTTTACCGATTCTCATGACATGTGATCCAGGCTTTTACCACTGTCGTGAATCGTGTTTATTCACATCCCTTAATCCGGTCGATCCACCTCCGACACAGGGTTCCCCTTTTCGCAGCATGTCGTCAGCCGCACGGATCCTCAATCCCCCCCTCGTTCACACTATTTATCTTAGATTATCCTCACACACAGGCATGTATGACTCACACACAAGCGCGAACCCGATACAACTAACGTCGCTGAGCTCTGAAGTAAACGGTTGTGTCCACGTCCTCTCCGGTCTATTTCTTCATCGCGGGTATCAGGCAAGCGTAATCGGGCCGGGTTAATTCCGTGGTCCCGGCGTGGTTCAGGACCGCATGCTGGGGCCCACGACAATTGGTGACCCCAGCTTGAGGAAAGGTTCTTCAAATCTCATAACGCCACCATTACTAAATTCAGAAGTTGCACGACTAACTTGCCTCAAATATATAAGAAATCGATAAAACAGGAGACCAAGTTCGGTGTTTTGCCCCGAGTACACTTGTAACAGGGTAAGGCCCCCAGGCCAAAGGGTGGGGTGGGGGCGGTCGAGCCGCGTTTTTGGACACCTGTTTTGTTTTAAAAGGGGTGGACACAATTGGCTTTCAAGTGCAGCTTGCAGCGTAGCGACAGCCGCCCAAGTTCTACCTGTGTAGTCCACATTTCGGACTTGCGTCCCTCAGCAATTGCGACGTTGTCCTCCGGGTCCAGCGCGCGTACCACGCGGGGGTCTGTTTAAACACACGCGCGCACACACAAATGCAACTTGTTTGACCAAAGGTTTGCCACGCGCCTCTGTTTAGTGTTTGGTCCCAAAGGTCGTTGCTCCTCTCCTCCCTCTTGTCAAAAACCGGTACTTTTGCAGCGACAATTACATATTTTTTCGCGTTTTCGGCTGCCGCCACGCTCTCAGAATGTCTTTATCAAATGATTGTTACTTCTGGAATTCCATGTATGTGACTGTGCATGTCTTCAAGTGAGGGCTTATAAACATGCGGACGACAGTCTTTGGCCTCAAGGGACACGCTGGCGTCTCACCTGCCACAGGAATGTCTACGATTCGCCGTGTCATTGCCATTGGAGTCGTGTTCCAGCCTCATGAGTGTTCTGTCTCCAAACTGTCTCATTGCATTCTTGTAATTGCTGCCCTTCCCCAAACTACCAATGAAAAATTCGTATACTCACACACAATCGTGTATATATAGCACATCCTAGATGGTCGTAGACTCCCACCACTAACAGTTTACAATTTGACGACCTTATTCGATTTTCGTGTTGTTGTTTCGAAGATTTCCCGGTAACTCATGTCATAGAACAATGTAAAGACCTTATTTTTTACTCTAAATCGTCCACTCAATTCTTGGGGGCTGCAACTACCCACCCATTGTGAATATTTGGTGTGAGTATTTTCAAAATTACCTGGAACTACCATACGGCAGGCATTAGACAATTGCCCAATCAGCGTTTACGATAACGTTATAATTCGCTCCCCGCAGCCTGCATCTTTCATTGTCCCACCAAAACCGTTCCTAGATTTTCGAAGCTGCGACTAAATGCTTTAGACCGCGTAATCTGCACAAGAGATACTTTGTCATTGCTACTCTTGTTTGTTGTACACCAAAATGGCATGTCCATTAGGTTTTGTGGACTTTATACCTGGCAGTCGCTCCTTCCGCATTGCCTCGCGTATTGGCCAACCTTGGAGTTGCCACTTCGATTTTTTGTGTGCCTTTTCAGAGTGGAGTTGCTAATCTCACACCCAAACTCCTTTTTTGTGCGACCGGATTTCAGACCGCCTCGGCCTCAGTTGTGGCTGCCTCCATCCCAAAATATTCTCACTGCTTTTCCTTCATTATCAAAATAGTGACTTAAACCGGAATTGGGAAGGTGTAGACTTAACTATGGAATTCAACTTTTCGCTCGGTTGTGGGAAATTTCAATTTAAACGCGAGTTTCCTGATTGCTTGTTGCTTCGCGTTTTTCTGTAGTAAAATTTGTAGCCTTAATGCTTATATTTCTATACGAACTCTTTGTAACCTTTGAGTGAGTGTCAAAATGCGTAGCTTGGGTTTTCAACTCGATCAGGAATGGAGTGTTTCTTGCTGCATCGATCAACCAATGTTACCTGGAATGTTATTTGTAGGGTCGAAATGGACAGCTTCATTTCTCCCTGCGTTCGGTGTGGGCTTTGAAAGGTGCCAGCGGGTCCTACAGGCATCCAGGAAGCGGATTCAATGATATGAGAAGCACTCCAGGTCGCCAACTCGTTGAACAGCGCGTTTTCCAAATCACTCCAGACAACGGGATCGAAACGCTGATTGAATTTGACCGAGAGCAAGTTGGCATGTATCTCGTAGACGTCGCTGTGCGAGACAACGGCACCCAGCCACTGGCTACATCAACCTCATTGTTGGTTCTCATACTCGACGAGAATGACAACGCACCTGTCTGGACATTTCCCGCCGATTCCTCGAGGCAGATCAACATAACAACCGCCGATCTACCCGGGACGCTTGTTGCTAGGTTACAGGTGAGTTTAGATGGTTGCAGGAGTTCATTTGAGATTTATGAAGAACACACTTGAGCAATCGAATGTTTTGCTCAAAATACTGTTAATGAAATGCTGAGGGGTCGGGGATTCCTGGGCTGAATGATTTCAGACAGTTGGATTTTTCCTTGGCTTGCGGAACTCGAAATCATGCAAACAGACAAAATGTGTTTACGGTTACGTGCAGACCTCTTAAAATCACGAGGCCAAAACGGATGTCTTGAGTCTTGCTGCTTGAGCCTTTACGGGCATTCGTCCTTGGACAGTTTTCTCTCTAAGCACGAATTTTTCTTCATTGAAAAAAAGTTTTAAAGAGGATAGAAGTACAGTGTTACCCAGTTTCAAGATTGATTTCAGTTTTTATTATCAATGGGATATATATATTAGGAGTTTTGTGATTCACTTCGTTGACCTTGTTAAACCAATGAAAAGGACCAAATCACAGAACATCACACAATTCTTTACATTCCCGTCTTTCCCGCTAAGATATATATATTCTCCCGGTCAAAGTTGAGCTGGTTCATAGCCGTGCGACTGCTGTTTTGGAGAACGCAGACCTCAAAAGTTCCCAGTGTCCGCCTGATAACCTAACTGTTTGGGTAGCGAAAGCTGTGTGAACAGGGGTAACTTTGTTCCTCGTCTTCCCCTCTCGTTTGGATCTGCAAACATGGCCCAAACACACGTGCTAGTCCTCGATCTGATGGAAGTAAGAACTGACTGGAATCCGTCACTGGACACTGCGCTTCAACGTCCACCATGGACTCTTTTTGCCGGCGGATATGCCTTCAATTGCTAAACCAACTGAAAGCAACGCGAATAATATACATTTGCGAAGATCCTTGTTAGATGTCTTTACGCAGTGAAGGCTTTTTGCGTGGGCTTGACTGGAGCAGGAGTCAAATTTATGAACCGTCCGCAGATGCTCTTGTTAAATGTCATACTTCCGAGTTGACGCTCTTTTTCCTAGTTGGGATTTGCTTTAGAGCCTTTTACACGTGTGAGAACAGTTTCCATCCTGCACAGATCCAACAACCAAATACCTTTTACATATATTTTTTATATACCTTACTTCTATTGCATCTTACGACCCCCTCTAAATCAATACCTCCACAGGCCTTTGACATTGATGCTGATGAGGCGGGCAAAGTGGAGTTCCAGGTTCTGGACCCGAACGGCCAGCCTATGCCTCCCGTAACCCTCTCTCGTGGTCTCTACAACTCCCCACCGACTACCCCCTTGCCCAATTCTCCATCGGTTCAAGGGGAGCTGATGGGTTACCGCACTGGACCCTTTTACCTCAATGGTTCGACAGGAGAAATTCTTGTAGCCGATCGCCTCGTGCCAGTCAGCCTCAAAATTCGACTTCGCGCCATCGACTCGGGCCAGGCACAGCGTCTTTACACCGACACGTGGATGATCATCAACGTGAAGATGGATCCCAATGAATTCGGAGGCTTTCTCGGTGGTGGGAGGGCGGGTGCTCTCAACGTGACCATAATTCTCGTCATGATAGCCGTTACGGCCATCATCTCCCTTCTCCTCATCATAGCCATTGTCTGTGTCCGACGGAAACCCGCTCGAGCGGTCATCAACAATGGGGCTTCCGCCGAAACCGACTTTGCCGGTGGCGGTCGGGTTGTCGCTTGTTCCCCCGGCAGCCCCTTCCTCATCTCTGACCCCGGCAAGGAGGCGTTGGCTGCAAACACTTGGACCGAATCCTCAAAGGACTTTTACCCCGCGGGTCCAGGAAGTCTAATTATTGACGAAAACGGTCAGGTGGTTTCCTCGGGTGCTCTACCCTATGGGTCTCCGTTAATGGGAGGCGGTTCTGACAAGACCAGCGTCCGGTGCGGTATGCCACCTCAGGGATCGCTCTATACTCCCGTAGACATGAGTGAAGATATGGCCGGTGGAGTATTGGCCATGCACACATTCGGGGTGAGTGCTATCTTTCGTTTGCTAACTATTCTACAGTATCCAACGCCTTCCAAAGAGACTAATTAGAATTAAATGTGGTAATCGCGCACAAATGTAGGGCGATTTGAGTTTTTAAAACGGGTCTAATTTCTCCTTATTTGATTGTGTTTAGGTAGCGCCTATAAGAGACGTAGATTTAACAATTTCGAACAAAAATCTATTATGAATTCCAAGCAATAAACCAATCTTGGGTTTATTATTGTTGGCATGCCTTTTGAGCTGCCTTCAAACTTATTTATGGTTCAAAGCAAGAGCAAACTGCGTTTTATTCTTTAAGTGCTCATTATGCCTGTTCTGTGTTCTACATAACTGGTGGCCTGCAAAACCAGATGAAGACAGTGCTCCCACAAAGATCTTTGCTTTGATGAGTAACGCACTAGAGCTTGAAAACACGGACCATTTTATCAACATTACATGCATTCATTGTAAAGTGCGCAGTTTAAGATCAGAAACGACATAAATGCTGGCGGACCAGTGTCTTTGTTGATGCTGCCGCCTAACAAATTCCAGTCAAATCTTCCTGATCTCATTTGCCATTTCGCCGTGTGAGTTCACAAGGGGGCCCACTCTTGAATTCGGCTTCAATATTTTTATCCATTTGGTGCGAATCGACAGCGTGTAAAAGGTACAAGGCCACGTCATATTTTTGTGTCTATGGAGAATTGGTTTACATGAATGTTTATCGGCTAAGTTACGTGTCAACTGTGTTCTTATAATCAACAGGCACAGAGGTTTGTCTTGACCCACTCCTCCTAATCTAAATAAGAAGCCAATCATGTTCCTAACTTCTTGTCTGTTCTGCGCGGATCAGGTCTTTTGTTAGGGAGTGTTCTTGAAGGAAGAATACTAATATCACCGTTCTGCGCCCTAAGGAAACGACATGGGCACTTGAACTACTTAAGCGCCTTTCTAGATCCCGTTGAAATTCTTTCCTCTACATTCTTCACTCCTAGGTTTACTGTTAAACTTGTTTTGTGTGGGCGTAGAAGTCCGTAACAGGCGGTAGGCAACATCCGTAGCCCAGGTAACCGTCAATTAAAGTATGCGGGACTTGTGGAATTGTACTTGACATCAAGTAATTTCTGCCGTTGGTCAATCGAATCCGCGTTTGAGGACTTTCCTGAGGACCTAGGCACAGGTTAAACAGTCGTTCTGAGCCACTTTTTGTGATTACCACAAATTCGGCCAGCTCACAAAGCGATTGGTGAATCGTTGAGTATTTTGTGGCAGTCGACGGCTTCATTTGATGCACCTGGATGTAACCAGTCATCGAAACGATCTCCTCATCCCGGTAAAGGAGATGCACTTTTTACCAGAAGGTAGCGTGCGTCATGGCATCGGTCGGCGGCGCTAGCCTAATTATTTTGCACAACACACATTCCCAGAATTTTACGCTAGTGAAATCACTGTGCTGATATTATTTGCAAGGCTAATACAATTTTTTTATCATTGGTAGTTGCAGTTTATAATCACGAGTACGTCCTTACGAATCTAATCACGTAAAAGTAGGTCGGAGTTTTGCCGTCTGGTCATCACGTTTGAGTGACGTTAACGCCAGTCGCAGGAATAAACACCGTCGAGCGGTGCTTGGACTGTGTTTACGCAGCCCGAAAACTGATTAGCGCCATTATTCTACTTTCCTATGAATCCTTTCGTGTCAATCCAAAATGAGCATTAGTTAATGTGAGAAATTCTGGGTAGATGGTGGCAATTGTTTTGACGTGGACAGTTTTCAATTAATTGCGTGGAGGAAAGGTAAACTTTTTTCTCATCCGTTTCGGAGGCCACAGAGTTGAAGCAGCCACGAAACAGTGGACATTCAGTGCTGTACAGCACTGACGCCAAAGTAATTCACCATGACAGACTGTGGATCTTTTTCATGGCGTGAATCATGCTTCATTCGGCTGTGATTGGCTCATTCACTTAATTAGTGAATCGTAGAAGGGCACATAGGGAGATTGCAAAAGAAAGTAATTGAACCGAGAAAGAGAGCTGAGTTTGCTGCTCTCTCTGGTAAGCTCAACCTGTTTTCGCCTGATGAGGATACCATGTCATCGTGTCATATCACTTTCTCGGTCGTCGAGGCAACCGAGGTTGCCATAATCATCTCTTTAGAATCGCTGATGTCATCTATGCCATTTAACAGAACTGGTACGCAAATCTTGTTCAATTTGTCGTCGGTTGTGTGAGGGATCTGGCGTTACCGGCGGTACTTGTCAGTCCTTAGTCTCGTTGATTTTTCAAAGCAGTCGTTCCTTTTTACACCCTGACGTGACGCTCTATTTGGACCTAATCGGCACCAAAATCTTTGAATGGGACTGCCGTAATTCTGCGACAACAAAGAGAGGTAGAGTTAGTCATCATTCTCCATTGGGCATAGCAACACATGCCCCTTTGCCAAAATGGCCTTCGACTTCGGGGTGACCGTAGCAACAAAAGACTTGTTAGACCCCTCTCGTGCTGTTGCGAGAAATGCGATGGACTAAATTAATGCCTTCGTGGGTGTCGGTGCCAAAAGGTAGTCATCATTTGGTGGTGTTTCCAGAAAGGCGGCTTGCCAGAGACACTGAATTCAGCAACGCAAATCCCATCCTTAGTCAAACATTGGACCGTGATATTGCTCGAAATACACCACCACGGAGCCATTGATAATTAATTTAGAGACGCGCATGCACTGTGCGCCTCTCCACCCACAAAATAGCCACGACAATTTTATTGACACGCCACTGCCCCCCCAGGCACCGCCCGTATCGATTTTTGTCTGCTCTCGTGCACCCGAACCGCGGCATCGAAAAACTACCGCTTTTATCTCACCTAACAATGCCCGCATGCACCAAGGCCCCCCCCCCAACGCGTCATGAAGTTGATGTGAATCGTACGGCGCGAGGTTCTGTGTGGGAGACACGGCTGGACGTCCTCTCTCCAAACGCTCGATAAATTTGCACATACTACGTCCTGGAATCAGTGTGTTGTGCACTGTGTTTGTTCAACCCCTTAATCCGGTCTCTCTACCTCCTACACAGGGTTCCCCTTTTCGCAGCATGTCGCCAGCCGTGCGGATCCTCAAGTCCCCCCTTATTCGCACGAATATTTATCTTGGAGTATCCTCACACATAGGTCTCGATGTTAGCGCATGTATGACTCACACATCCGAGGTATAAATACACACGCGCAAACCCCAAACACGACACAACGACACCAACTTGGTTGAGCTCTGAAGTAAACGGTTGTGTCCACGTCCTCTCCAGTCTTGTTCCTCGTCGCGGGTATCAGAAAAGCGTAATTGTGCAAGGGTTTATTCAGTGGCCCCCGCGTGGTTCAAGACCACATGCTGGGGCCCACAGCAAGTGTCACGCGTTCCTATCGGCCCGTAATTCCACTCATGCAGAAATGTTTTATCGACCCTTCGAGTAAATCATACATCTCAGCTTACTGACATTAGGAGTCCAAAGTCAACCCCCCGAAACGTTTAGTTGCAAAAAGGTTGCAAAAAGTGTTCATTGCGGTATGTTCTGCCCCGATTTACCGCGTTCTTTTGCTTTTGTCCGCACCAAAGCCAAACGTATCACTGGCCAAAATTGGGGCTGTATTATATTGAGGGCAATGCAATTTCGAATGACAACTGCTTAGCGTCATTACATGAACTACGTATTTTGACATCTGCGATTTGTTATTATCCAGGCCCGGAGTGCAGTTTTTCCCCTTTTTTCCGTGTTTGCTTTGTGTCCGCGCTGTCAACTGCTCACCAGTCGACAGTCGCGGTGCTTTGCGCCGCGTCTCGCGTGTGTGTCGAGCGCCATCCGTGGCGTCTCCGTCATCTGCATCCCTGTTTATTCGTGTCACTTTGCGACAAGCAAAACCATTCACCGGCCATGTCAATTAGCTGTTTGGTTATTTTTTTGTGTGGAACCGGTTCAAAAATTTCGACGGTGTTTACTTTTTTGGGAGCTCTTATCGTGCACTTTCTGGAACCATATTTCTCCACACTTAATATTGACAATCGAAAACCTCGTACTTGAGAAAGGGTACCATCTGAAAAACTCGTGTGGGGACGGTGCCATAGCCCACTTTTGCACTACGATTTTTCGATCAATTGAGCTTCAAATGTGGCCAATCTTTTTTTAAATGAAACAGTTTCCGCACAAACTTTCATTTACGTCGGGTAACTTAATTTGGCCGCCTTGCTTCCCGTTCACCTTCTCACCCGCGAGCAGTGGTGTAATCTAATTCCAGACAAGTTTTTACTTGCCTCTTTGTAACTGGGATAATTTTCCGTTGACATCAGTAAACAATTTTCAATCCAAAAGAAATAAGTTTCTGCTTAGCGTTTAAATTTCAATCGGCATTGGTGTCTCATTGTTCGCAGGGTGAATTTAGCTTCGAATTCTGGGTGCAAATCTCATTTGGTAGACCTCCAAATCGACTTTGTCATTTGCAGAAACGAACTTTGAGCCAACGAGCACAGAACAAACGTAAGACAAATTTTCCGAATTAGTCTGTGACCAAATTGTTTTGGTTTAAAGTGTCCTCGTAGTTCAAAATCGACTCGGTCAACGGATGGTGGATGACCGGGAAGGCTAGAAGTAGCCCATGCTGATGGTGGTCGCAATTCGATTCCTTTTTTTCAATTATGCAAAAAACACTGCACATCTCTTCATGGCATTGTGCGACATGTCCAAATGTCACCCATCCCTACCCAACTCCTCCCCCCGACCACCCCCCTCCCTCCACCGCCCTCGATAACATCACGATGTGGCGCTAAATTTTCCCACCGAAAGCCATCTGCTATGCTCTGCCTTTCTTCTCGAATCATAATTTAGTTACAAACACGTGAAGTTTCGATGTGACATTCCATACACACTCCTTACTATCGTAACCGATTACTTAGTGCACCATTCAAGCACGAGGTATTTTCGCTTTAAATGTCGAAGGCTTTATTATCAGGCGTTCAACATTGTCGCGCGTTTGTAGTCTCGTGATATAAGCACATCAGAAGTAATGCAACAATCTCTTGAGGCACTGAATAACCGATTGCTAACCATCGTCTCACCAGGCCTTCGCCGTCTTTCTGTTTTTCGATGAATAGGGACAACTTGGCTAATGAGCTCAAGGCAGATTTCCCCTTGTAGTGGGTCGCCTGTTTGGACGGTTTTTGATTGAGCTATGTAATCAGTTAGCAACTCTTTCCCCCCATCCAGACTATGTCCCGAGGCCATCGACCTGGCGGTGTTCTAGGAAGCGTCCATGGATCATCGACGGGTATTCGAATGGGCGGCAGCATGCAGTATGAACCTCCCCCTCTGGACGCGGACAGTGGAGACTCTGGCCGGGGACCGTCAGAGGATGGGAACCAGCTTATGATGCTCGAAAATCAACGAAGTGAGTTCTCGAATTATAAGTAACCCAATTCTGCTGCAAACCCTCCACTATCTTGCCTAGTTCAAATGACACTTGCACAAATTCGCAAGTGCGTATACTAAAGTAGTTACTCTAGCTGACATTTACGCAGTCAGCATCGCCTAATTAATCTGCGTTTATATAATTCATTATTTTTTAAGACTTTTTAACCCATTTGGAAGTGATTGTGGATTTTTTTAGAATAACTGACTTGTGTTTTTTTCGATGTCGCACCATAAAATTAAAATAGGGCTGCTTTCTACTTCGGTCGAGTTAATTCGACACTAACGCATCAGGATGTGCAGTGCTTAGGGAAATATTAGACTTGGTTAAAAGGCGGTTCAGAACCACTTTGGGCTGTTGAATTAGTGTGTCAAAGTGCGTTCAGGAGCGTGAATTGCTACGCACAGAACATACTTTCTAAAATGGGTACTTTGTTCGTCAGTGGCGTAAAACAGACCCTGTCGATTGATTTACTTCTAAGTATTTCTACGTAGCCTATTCATGGTGCCGTATCCGGTTGTCTGCGTGAACATTAAAAATGGATTTGTTGTTCTAGTTAAACTTTAGCTCGATTGTAAATCACGGAGATTCTGTGCGCCGTTCAAGTGTAGGGCATGGTCATTGCTGCTGCACTTGAATTACTTGCGGGGTTAAGCTTTGCGTTCCTAAGCTCGTTCGCCTGAGTACGGCATTTTCGATTTTCAATTAGGAAATCTACACCGAACCGATCTGTAAAAACGCTAATACAAGTTAGCAGCTCACATTGTCTCTCCTTTGCGCATCTTTTTTTGTGAGGTCTCTTCATACACATCAACATTCTTTCATGTAACTTCAGTGGTAGTTGTCAAAACTAAGTGAACTAAGTATTTTCGATTCTAATTTTGGCTAAGTGAACTGTTTTTCCCATAAACACTCCAAAATGGATGGAGCCCACGAAGACGAAAGTTACGGCCCCCGGCCATTTCAAAAAAGAGAAAAGTAATGACGCTGGCAGCAAGGTCGCGTCACCTTAGCAATTACAATCTACACCTTAAAACTCCTGACCCATAAGGGCGTTAATCTAGATGCGTGAATTTGAAGCAATCCAAGAGTTAGCACAACTTTTCGAATCGCCTCTGCCTAGTGAAATTTGGTCACTGGGCTCAGCTGGCAACGTACCAAAGGTTTTCCGTTCTTTTTCTTTAATCTCGTCTGTATTAAAAAGTCAAAACATGTGCAGACTCTTTATATGTAGTCACACAAACACACAATAGCAGAGACAGAGGCAGACACTAAGGCTCAGGTGCGCTGTTGTAACATGCGGTAAACATGTTTCCTTGCAGTGTTAATTCGCTCCACTGCCGCAGACGACTAAAGAGTTTTTTTCTGTTAATTTAATACCACACCGGGCTTCATTGTCTGGTGTTGAAACCCATCAGCTACTAAAAGGAACTTCCGGCCACTATTTGGGTACATTAGGCAAGGCAAATGGGAGGTGGAGCAGTGACTGACGCTTAATTTAACTTCACGCTGCATCGCATTGCATCCAAGTTGCGCCCTCGCTCTCCCTCTCTGGTTAGCAGGAAGTGTTGGCTAATGACGGGTTTCAAGCTGATTTACGATCCCTCTCAGCCATCTTCTCCTCCCCTTCACTTATTAATTAGAGACCAGCACTGTGGGACCTACGATTACCCTCTAAATGTTGCTTCGATACTCCCAAATGACACTCCTTTTGTGGAGTCGCATTCTAAGTGTTTCGAATTGGTTATGGTGGGCGGTTGCAGATTTACGCCTCCGCGTTTCCCTTCCTGCCGTTTTACCAGAAATAAATGCGTGGTAATTGAGCTACTTCAGCCACATCCAGCCAAGTAGTAACACTAAGTGGATCAAACTTGGGGGTCGAACATTCACATTCTGTGAATGGTTATTTGGTGGCAACTTTGCACTTTGCATAAATTCTAAGCTAAAACTTTGAATTATACTGGACAATCATAGGGCTTGAGAACAGAGGAGATGGTAAAAAAAGACGATACGGCCATGGTACTATAAAAAGGCTCCTTCGTTTTTGTGTGGCAGCCAGTGTCAGTACACATTGCAAATGTGCTGGGTGATTAACAGTCGAAAGAGGAAAAACAACTCGGTTAGGCATCGTGCCAAAGCAGGTCGTCTTGTGGCTGACAAGACGAAACTGCAGATTTCCCTGGAAGTGTCCCAGTGATGAGCTATTGCTGTGAGACCTCAGTTATCACCCCGGCAGCCATATTCAAGCGCTTCGTCGGAATTGTTGAAGCTTACGAACTGATCGATGTTTGAAGTATCCAGTGTTGGTTAGAAATCAATGCGGGATTGATTTCCATTGGACATTGTGTGTTTCTCATGTGTGTTAGGAGTAACTCCCGGGTAGCTTAGTTTATATTAGCGGCACATAAGTGGTGCTAGCTGAAATGAACTGATGATTTGGAAAAAGTTGGACGTTCAGACTGCTTAAATTGACGGATTTTAAGAGACCTTGACATCAACTTGAAATTATTTCACATGATTTCGGTGCACGTGATATCACCAATCAACGGCCGACAATTAACTCATCTATCTGCACCGCTGCGACACACGTGTCCACGAGTACTCCTTTAAGTGCGTTTTTGGAAAACAGTGTCATTCCAGTTGACTTTTGTGTTTCCCAGAAGGCAAAAATTCGTCCCGAACAAGGATACTAATGTTAGCAGCTTGACAAACAAACAGTGATTTCATAAGTCACAAGAAGGGAATTTAACTGAAGTGAATGCAAGTCTTGTTGGACGGATAATGCCAAGTGGTGGTGATATTAGCTTGCTTAGTGGATCGTTGTTGTGAATTTACAGATGCTGAAGCAAACACTAATCGAATTGGGTCAAATTCGGGTTGTAGCCCATCTAGGACCGCGAATCTTTAGCCTCACTTTTTACTACGAACGGTATTTGTACAAATATAATGACGTTAAACGGATGCAAGAAATTCCTCTTGTTGACGATAACAGAATGAGGTAACTGTGTGTTTCGTTTGTATTTACTCTTCAGTGTTCTCACCGCACCCTGGTTTCCAGTATGGAACTTGCACGGGCTTTCGTTCTTCAAGCCGCGCGAGTTACGGACTGCGCTCTGCTAGCGCCATGGGTGCCCCCGCGGGTGTAGGTAGTGGTGCTATCCCCCGGCCTTACATGCAGAATCCACACGGTAACGGGGATAACTGCTCCTGTTACGTTGAAGACCATTTCCCTTCTTCCTCCACTGGCTACACCGACTACGTTGATTCAGGAACTCACTACCCACATGCTTCCCTGCAACAAAGCCCCCTTGGAAGTTATCGGACCTTTTTTTCAGGATCTCAACCCTCCCCAGGACCACGAAGATTCACCCCTGGAGGAGGGGAGACCACTATATCCGCCTCCATTGGTTCGTTGCCGCGGTCACGGGCTCCCAGCAGGTCCACTGTCACCTTCCAGTCTCCTAGCGTGGTCGAAGGTGGCCAACAACTAATAAAGTTGGACCTAAGGGGACCGGGAGAGACAGATGGAGGTGAAGGCGCATTTGCAACTCTTCCTCCACGGCCAGTTCCCCGCACCATTACAAACACGGACGTCAGTGGTTAACAGGGGACACACGACCGCACACTTCACCCCACCCTCGCCAGCCTATGCAACGAAAGCGTCCCCCCAAGCAACTGCCTTCCGCCTGTGTGCGCTCATTTAAACTCCAGCCTGGAATATCAAATGACATGCCCACCCATCGTTTGCCCCAAGTCTTCCTTTTTTAGTAGGCTCATATTTAAGAGTTGACGCGGGTGGTGCTATGGCACCTCCTTGCTTTTTTCCGAACTCCGCGTAAACTGCGAACAAGGCCCACCTCCACTTTTGCATTGCTCCGCGTCCATTGCCTTTTTTGGTTTGTACCAAAACCCACAGATGAATGGCGTATGTTTGTGTATAGTGAAATATGTATTAAAGCCAATATCAGGTTATGGAAAGAACACTCTCTTTCATTTATCACTCATCGGGCTTTCCTTTCTGCAGTTTTGGAAACTTAACAGCAAGTTAATTACCAGTCTGGGCAGGAGTTGCTTGTCATTTATCCCCGCAATGCTGGTTCGGATAATTAGGTTTTCGGATGCTCGATTATGTGGCTGTTAGTTGCGTACCTAACACGTACCTAACGCATCTTGGTAGTGGTTGCACACTAAGTGCCTCACAAGCCAAAGCCTTGGTGCTTGCATGTTATCAAACCCATTTTTAATCGCGGGCTAGAATCTCTGTTGAATACTTCACACCTACTCAAATTTGAAGCATGGCCCTGGAATTACCTTTTCTTGCGTGTTAGGTCCCTTTCCAGTTCGTTGAAGCACGCGGGATTTAGTACTAGAATCAGAAAGTAGTAATCTCCTAGCGTCATTGACAACATAAATCCGCATTTAAGGCATAATCCCATGTCCAGCAAACCAAACATGGGACCGACCAGGGGTGTGAAACCACGAATGTTGTGACTTTGTACTGCGGTACATCTAGAATTTTCGTTATGCCCAGTGAATAACAGGCAATGTGAGGATTTTGCATCAACTGCGCCAAAATCCTCCTTTCTGGACTGGGTGGTTGGATCAGAAACGGATATGGAAAAGAGCCAACCAAGGTGTGTTTGTGGTGTTTTGAGTGTGTAAAGGCTAATCGTCATTAAATTGGTTTAGTGGAACCTAATCGTGCAGTCGTTTTGATGTGACGTGCCCTGGTTTTTAAAACTTGGCTTAGTCCAGAATATAGCCAATCACAGACAAAGGCGTTAAAAATGCCAAATACCGTGCTAAGTCAACGTTAAGCAGCCTTGCTTGAACTTGTTGTGGGTCCCAGCATGTGGTCTTGAACCACGCCGGGGTCGCGGAATTAATCCTGGTCCGATTACGTTTCCCTGATACCCGCGATGAAGAAAAAGACCGGAGAGAACTTGGACACAACCGTTTACTCCAGAGCTCAACCACGTTGGTGTCGTTGTGTCATGTGTGGGGTTTGCGCGTGTGTATTTATACCTCGAATGTGTGAGTCATAAATGCTCTAACATCGAGACCTATGTGTGGGGATACTCCAAGATAAATATTCGTGCTAATGAAGAGGGAGTCGAGGAATCCCGCGGCTGGCGACATGCTGCGACAAGGGGAACCCTGTATAGGAGTTTGAGCGACCGGATTAAGGGACTGAATAAACACGATTCGCAACAAAATGTCCAATCCAGAAACTGATTTTGCTTGTCATACAATTCCACAATAAATGGAAATAGGAAGTGTATTAAAATCCACAATAACGCTTCTTAAATAATGCGTGCAGAGATATCCTAGCCTACACCATAACTGTAATTCCGAATGAACAAATTGTAATAAATCTTAAAGTCCCTTACTTCTTACATAAATACAATTTACAATCAAAAATCCGGCAGTAAGCATTTCGCATTTATGGTACCTTGTTTGGACAAACCTAATGTCATGCAGACTAAACAAAGCAAGACCAGCTAACCATTTTAATGTCACTTGTGGGAAATCACGTTTTAAGAATAAAAAAACGCAAAAACTCAACTGAGTTTTTCCTTCCCTGTTTAAACCCCGAGATGTCAAATCAAACTCGCAAATTTAACCTCAAGGCACATTCAACAATCGTTCAGAATCAAACCCGGGTCACGTTTCTGCCTTTTCAGTTGGTAAATCTAAGATTTTTTGTTCTAAACATAAAGACTTAGGAATGGTTCCGGAAGTCTTAACGTGTTTTGTAGAAACCAAACCACCGAATCAGCATGAGCAAAATCTAAGTGACTGTTGCCAATTCTAAGGAAGTTGGCTAACCCTTTTTGTATCTGCACTAACCTGGTTATTTTACCGAAAGTACTTCAAGCTCAACCTCATGTGGGATTCGAACCCGGTCCAGCAGCGATTTTTGCTTTAAAGATAGCTTTAATACTTGAACAGCTGACCTTTCACCTACGCTAAATAAGGGAGCCGCACGACTAAGCTGCAATAATTGTTTTTTGATTTGTCGACAGAAAATATCAGTTGCATGACTTAATTTGTGCACATTTGTGAGCAACATTATTCAATATAAAGAAAATGGAGAAAAGCAATCTTAGTCTTGGAAATATTGTCCAGCTTTTTCCATGACCTTGCACTGTCTCTCGGATAACGTACGAATACTGTCGCAAAAGAAAATTTGCATGTAATAAATTCGTTGACGAATTTACGCGCATTGTCCGATGTTTTGAACAGTTTACCCACAAGGGAACAATAGGTAGTTGGATGGGTCCAAGTCTGGCGAAGGTACTGCGTGTGAATAGACTTCCCTTCCCAAGTTCAAGAGGGTCTTTAGAGTCGCACGAGCAACGTGAGGTGGTCGAGCGTTGTCATGCACCAGCAGTATGACTTGCCTGCTTCCTTACCCAGTAAATGGTCTTTTCTGATCACGTTCTTCGCTCACTTTGTTGAATTGTTGGGCGTAGTGTTCCGCAGTCATCGTCTGACGACCACTTTCCAAAAGTTCGTAATAAAGTACACCTTTAATGTCCCACCACCAGATACACGGGAGAACTTTCTTCAGGTGGATGTCCTGTTTCGGTGCCGATGTACTGAGTCGCTCGGGATCTCCTCACAATCCTACGTTTTGAGTTTGAGATTCTTGTAAAAGGTATACTTTCAATCATCCGCTACGATGTTCCACAAGCAATGAAAGGCGTGTGTTCAAACATTGATCTAGGCTGTGCCCGGTCAAGTGTGTGTGAGACCTAACACCTAAGTTTTTGAATTTATTCTATTTACTGGTGCAAGCGCTTGAAAATAGGTGCTTGGGTGACCCCTAATTGAGCTGCAAGCTCTTGTGGTGCGTACGTTGAGTCTTCATCCAGTCGAGCTTGCAATCCCGCATCTTCGAACTTTTGAGGCTACTCTCCGGGGTGCGGGTGGCCACTAAGATCCAAATTACCACTTAAAACGTTTGACCAATAATCACACGTTTCAGAAGACACAAAGTCGCCTCCAAGGACACAACAACTTGATTCCCGTGCTTTAAAATTATTCTTTCTTTGCTGGAATTCGCATAAACGTATTACCGAATGTGCGGTTTATCAGTTGATATCATAAAATTTGAGAGGTTATTAAGCTCACGTGGACTATTTATTCGGCATTCTGAAACCTTGTGTCTGATCTTTTTAAAACCACAAAAGACAACGAAAATACTTCTATTTCAAATGTGACATTAAACTCGGCGGAAAAGTATGCACCTAATGGTAATTACGTTGTGTGGCTGCATACCCATGATAAGGAACGATTTGGATCACAACGGTCTCGTGAATTTAACTTATTTTGAAAGGAATTACCAACTAGTAAATCCAAGTACCTTTACGAAAGATTGTTCTGATTGTGCTTTGGTTCAATCCACAATTTTTCCCTTTACTTGTCACTTTCGTTCTAACTTGTTCAAAATCCAAAAAAGCAAGCCAAACCAAAACCACGAGTTTGTGTTTGTACATCATTTATCAAAGTAACTTGCTGTTTTTTTTAGGTTGTCACATGCATTATTGCCCATCAACGACTTCGTTCCCCTTTTGTCTCACCCTTTCTGCTTTCTCTACTTTGGTGGAATAACTATGCAAAATTCAAATATTTGCATTCGCAACTAGCCTTTGCCCAAGTTGCCGTTAAAGTTTTGACTCAACGGTGGGACATGTACCTTTTACAAATAACAGAAAAAATATGAAGCCATCCGAAAAATGAGATGATCAGTACATCGGCGTCCGTATTTCACTATCAAAAATATTGTGCAGCTATCGATTACGAAAAAGGTGTTTCCGAGGTCCCCTGAGTCTAAGGCGCTGAATCCACTTGCTATGCACCCTTTCACTCTTCATTTCATTTAAACAAGTTTTTTTACCAGCCGGCGGATATTTGTCTGCTAGTAATCTCTGCAGTCCTCATAGCCTGTGATTGTGACTTACGTAATGCAGGCGGCAATAAAGCCATGGGAGCTTGGGGCTTGCTCGTTGTTTATTTATGAACCGTAGTGTGTCATCGGGCTGGAAAACGGAGTGCTGGTAGTCTAAAATGCACATGTTGGTAAAGAATTTGGCGAGAGACGAATTAAAGCCAGATTGGAACAAAACACGACGTGGCTCGACAGAGGAGGATTATGTGGGTCGTTCCCACTGGCAAAACAAGCAACATATTGCCTCGTTCGAAGTCTAACCAAGTAAGAGGCCTTGATGGCTTTGACATCATTTTAAAGATTGACTTGTGCGTGGGCTGAAAGACCACGTAACAGAATGCCACATTTGTTTTATTAAGGCCACAAATTGAGCTTTGCTAAAAGCTGTGTTACGGGAGCTTAAGAAATGCCATCAATTGGACTAAAAAAGATTGTTTATAGGCTACGTGCTGTGGGATTTAGTTTTGGTTTTGTTGCGTATGTCAGCCACCCCATTAAAAACACACACACGACCGGCTAATGTCTTTACTTATCCACAAGTGCAGCAACTTGCTCCCAGCCTATTGGAGTTCACTCGATAACAATTGCTACTTGGCTGTTATGTGCACATTGCCATTGAGGGCAGTTCAATGCAAACACAACAACAGACG